AAAAGATCAGAAACTATAATTCACTTCAATATGAAAAGCTCAGCCTGAAATTTTCCAGTCCTAAACTATAGTTAACATGTATAGTCTGCACCCATGGCCACATTTCTGCTGAATCTGGTTGTAGTTTGTGAAGAATCCTCTGACATGAGTCCTTCAACTAGACCTAAACATTTAACCATTCCAACTGTCACAGTCGCTTTTTGCCAGAATCAGTTACAAATCACTAACAAATTCATAAAAACGGTGCATCTTAAGCAGAAACATTTTGCCTTCAGTTTAACCTCTGAAAATCCTTACAACACTACCTTCTGCTGAGCTTTGTAAAAGCAAAAATAGCCAACCAAATCAGTTTAGGCTCCCGGCCCAAGTGTCAGTGCTCAAAATTCATTTTATACTATTAGAAAGCAGTTTTACCCAATTCCTGCACGTCAGCAAATCTACCCGGCGTTCATTTAGTGCAATAACCCCACAACTGAATCATTAAGCCTTCATTTATCTCCTAACAAAATGTCTTTATGATGCATCTCATTTATCCTTCATCTGCTACAGTACCTGTGGCCACCACTGCTTATTCCTTTCTCTACTCTTTATGTCCTCTTCCAATTCCCTCTATCAGAGATTTGGGAAATTTCCACTCCCCTCTCTCACCCTACTGCAGTTTCATTGGCCGCCACTGTACCTGCAGCGCTTCATTCTTCCAGTTTGGACACAGCCACCGCCTCCCTTCCATCCGTGACCTATCGTGACCTATCTGTTGCATCTGTCGTTGGGCAGCGGCCAACTTCACATACGAAGCCGTATATTCCCCTCTCCCTCTCTCTGCCAATTATTATCTACCTGTTCCGGCCCCGTCGGCTGACAAGACACCTACTGAGTTCACTTTCCCCATGAGCTCAGCTCTTGCTGCAGTCAGCTGTAGCGTTGCTCGCTGCTTATCATTCTGATACTTTCTCTGTGTGTCGCGTCGGCTAACGGGGTTCCCTGCTTCTATCCCATCTGTCCAGAGAATTAATCCCCCACACGCTTGAAAAAAAAAACTATTTTGCGTATCTAACAGGTTTGCATTTGATCAACTGGAAGAAGTCACAAATCAGCCGTTTTGATACATTATATTAGTGATCTAGAACATATTTTTGGCAATCAAATGTGTTTTTATGCACTGTATGCTTACTTTCTGTCTCCGTCACGTAAAAAACCTTTTAAGTTCATTATATTATTACGCTTCCTCTCTATGGCGAACTCTGGTAAGTGACATATTCACTTGTCCATTCTAATGAAATCACTAAATAATCATTTGCAACCAAACATGCTCTTTTTTATATAAATCTACTGATATGCATTAGCTATTTTTGCTTGGCCATATAAACAAATGCTAACATCAAAAGGAAGTGATTTTTGTCCAGTTTTGATCATTAATTTTTATTTTTTTAGGAGCTAATATATTATGAATGAAATTATAGATCAAAATGTGCGGTTTAGAGTTTATAACCTGTTTATGGTCATACTTGCAGCTGAATTATATTCTGTGGGCTCTATTAGCACTCGTTTTAATATCAATTAGCACAATGTGTCTGACCTCTCCTTTTCTGGACAAAACTGGGCAAGATACAGTATGTGATGCCACATAATCTTTGCCTTCCTGGCGCTTCTGAGTTAATTAGGTTGCCAGCTTTCCAGTAAGACAACACCTGTGGTTTAATACTATCACAAATTATTATCTAGACATCATGCTAAATGCAAAACATATTAAAATAAAGAAACTCATTCTTTATGCCATCTTCTCTAGAAATACTGTGAAATTCAACACTCGACAACAGTCAGTGGTTCCAACACATATTAACTGGGGTTCTAATTTATTGGTACTTACTCATTTGCATACATTTTTCATGTTGTTTTGCTTGCTTGTTCGTTTGTTTATTAATTTTGATGCACTCAACATCAAACAAACATGTGTTGTTTTTTTCCCTCACTCATTCATTAGCCAGCTAACTGAAATATGCATATCATGTGGAAAACCATGTCCTACATTCAACTGATTTGAGAAAAGTTCATCAGTACAGTCATACTGAGCATATTCAGTATTCTCAAACATTTCAATATTTCAACATGGAGCTTAAACTAACATCTTGGCATATCTTGCCATTTTGAGTCTGCGGACATTTCTACATGATGACTTATTCTTAAAAGGGATTGTTCACTCAAAAATGAAAAATCTGTCATCATTTACTTGTGACTTTTTTTTTCTGTGGTACATTAAAGAAGATATCGTGAGAAATGTTTCAGTGTTTCTTGACCATACAATAAGAACTGTTTGGTCAGTTCTTTAAAATATCATCTTTTGTGTTCAACAGAAGAGTAAATGATGATCTCTTTAACACACCTAATTTTGAAGGCACAACAAAAGTTGTTTCACACTCCATAATGCCTATATCATTTACATTAGAAGTCTTAAATATGACTTTCCCGCTGAAGCCTGAGAGGCAGAGAAAGAAAGATAGAGGCCGAGAGACACAGACATTCAACCATGCCTCTCTCAAGGACATCACAGGGCACAGTGAAGCACAGCAATACATTGTGCATGTTTAGTATCAGGATTTGGACTCCTTTTGTTACACTATACACTATAATAAATTATATTGCATGCATGCTTGCTCTGTCACTAACGCTGACATGAACCATATCCGCTTTTCAAAAGACACAGTCATCACATCACTACTTTGTTGTAGACCGTAAGATATATTATTGTATCTCAAACATATATTAGGTGAGACTGAGTCTAGGCGTCACCCGTTTTACTCTGGTGAATATTTCTTAGGGTAGATTTATTTTCTCAAGTCAATTTCAATATAGGCTGCTGATGCTTTAAAGTCTTGGCTTCAAAAAAGCTATCGGACATTTCCTCCGCCAAGAAAAAACATTGAACTTTTGTGATAGAGATGTGAAAAAAAATGCAAAACCATGAATGAAACCTCATAAAAGGTGAAAAATTTCAAATGATCATTTTGACCAACAAATAGCCTATTGTGTAAAATGAATCATTTTTTCCATCTAGGTGTTTGAAACCAAAGTACAAATTTGTTTGACTGAACATTACTCTCAAAACTTTATAGGTATTGAGATAAAGCTCTTCTCCTGTGTGACAACTAGCCCCGGTCTCCACAGGCCTATTATCCGAATGATCTGCCATTGATATTGATATCTGGTCCATTTTCTGTAGGTTCCTTCTGGCCGTTGCCAGTGCAATCGTAAGAAATGAAGTGTGCTAATTATCAGAACGAGGCTGCTATGTGGACTTCTTCATCGGAGTCATAAATCTAGAGTCTTTATAATGTGAAATGTTAGAAATGTTGTTGGAACATAATGCATCCCCGTAAATATCCCATTCAATCACACTCATTCATTTAATGTCAGATTTCTCCCCTATACAAATGAAACCTAATACTGAAAGGGGCAAGGTCAATGAATTCCGTCTGATTTATCCTTGCTCGTCTCTGCTATGCATAGACACGCTCGCCCTGCGCACGCCCACCGTCCAAGCAACCCGTACACTTCCCTCACCGCGCGACCTATACGTCACAGTGATGTTGACGATTACGTAAAATGTGATTATTGCCCAATCATGTCGCATCAGATTCGCGTTGAGCCATTAGCACCTTAGCAAGCAAGACTAATGATATATATATATATATATATATGTTTAAAAGCACTGTGGCAGCAGCGTACAGTGAATGCGCGCATCACGTATAACTGCGAATTCTCCAAATCCAATTATCTGTAGATGACATTTCTACGTTGCGTCTGATAAGCAAAGGCTGATAATCAGATGCTCCGGGTCTCCGGGGGAATAAGGGAAGTCTTGGGCCGATTCCGGTCCGAATGACTTTTAGGATGAAGCGGAGGGAGAAGACGCGCGTCTTTGGGTTTGGTTGTGAAGTTGCTGATATATCTAGGCCTATATATTTTTTACAAACATGTTAATGTACATATCTCTCTTACACCTTCCACCCAGACCCCCCCCCCCCCCCCCCCCTCTTCCCCCCTCACCGCCAC